TCAGAGCATTCAAAGCATTCAGAGCATTTAGAACATTCAGAGCATTCAGAGCATCCAGAGCATCCAGAACATCCAGAGCATTCAGAGCATTCAGAGCATTCAAAGCATTCAGAGCATTTAGAACATTCAGAGCATTCAGAGCATCCAGAGCATTCAAAGCATTCAGAGCATTCAGAGCATTTAGAACATTCAGAGCATTCAGAGCATTCAAAGCATTCAAAGCATTCAGAGCATTTAGAACATTCAGAGCATTCAGAGCATCCAGAGCATTCAAAGCATTCAAAGCATTCAGAGCATTTAGAACATTCAGAGCATTCAGAGCATCCAGAGCATCCAGAGCATTTAGAGCATCCAGAGCATTCAGAGCATCCAGAGCATTCAGAGCATCCAGAGCATTTAGAACATTCAGAGCATCCAGAGCATTTAGAGCATTCAGAGCATTCAAAGCATTCAGAGCATTCAGAGCATCCAGAGCATTTAGAGCATTTAGAGCATTTAGAGCATCCAGAGCATTTAGAGCATTCAGAGCATCCAGAGCATTTAGAGCATCCAGAGCATTCAGAGCATCCAGAGCATTCAGAGCATCCAGAGCATTTAGAACATTCAGAGCATCCAGAGCATTCAAAGCATTCAGAGCATCCAGAGCATCCAGAGCATTTAGAGCATTTAGAGCATCCAGAGCATTTAGAGCATCCAGAGCATTCAGAGCATTCAGAGCATCCAGAGCATTTAGAGCATTCAGAGCATTTAGAGCATTCAGAGCATTTAGAGCATTTAGAGCATCCAGAGCATTTAGAGCATCCAGAGCATTCAGAGCATTTAGAGCATCCAGAGCATTTAGAGCATTCAGAGCATCCAGAGCATTTAGAGCATTCAGAGCATCCAGAGCATTTAGAGCATTCAGAGCATCCAGAGCATTCAGAGCATCCAGAGCATTCAGAGCATCCAGAGCATTTAGAGCATTCAGAGCATCCAGAGCATTTAGAACATTCAGAGCATCCAGAGCATTCAAAGCATTCAGAGCATCCAGAGCATCCAGAGCATTTAGAGCATTTAGAGCATCCAGAGCATTTAGAGCATCCAGAGCATTCAGAGCATTCAGAGCATCCAGAGCATTTAGAGCATTCAGAGCATTTAGAGCATTCAGAGCATTTAGAGCATTTAGAGCATCCAGAGCATTTAGAGCATCCAGAGCATTCAGAGCATTTAGAGCATCCAGAGCATTTAGAGCATTCAGAGCATCCAGAGCATTTAGAGCATTCAGAGCATCCAGAGCATTTAGAGCATTCAGAGCATCCAGAGCATTCAGAGCATCCAGAGCATCCAGAGCATTCAGAGCATCTGACTTCAAATGCAGAAACGTTCAAGTTTAGGCGTTTGATGCCTTTTTGATGTTCAAAACTCGTCTGGTTTAAATTGACTAAACTGTAAATTAGTGCATTTGCTGCAAACTGTAAATGATCAGAATGCTATAATCTGGTTATTCAATCATTGCAAACTGAATATTTTGGAAATCTGGATCCATTTTTAAAGCAGGAAAAAAACAACAACATATTTATATTTCCCCCCAACAAGCTTAAGGTTATCTGAATTATTAATAATCATCATTTTATCTATAGATAATAATGAATGACATGGTGAGAAAGGTTGTTTATCTCAAGGTTCGCTTCCATCATCAATCTTATAATAACTTCTATTATTTAGATAGATTAAACTTTAAGCTTAATGATCCCAAAGTGTGAACTGTAAAAGGCAAAGATAACAAATATGTAACTATTATGGAAATAGTAACTTAACTGGCGCTATAACTCACCACCATCTTCCTCCATTGGTTATCATTAGCATCACTGCTACTATTGACATCATCAGCGTCTGTGTTTACTGCCGTCTACACTGTCAACATTGTTATGGCTAAATTCATTTGTATAATGGCTTTAATTATGCTTATCATCGCCACCATAACAGCTATTATCATCCTCATTACTGTCACTCATCACTTCCATCATCAAGGCTTCAGGATTTCATTACTGGAGCCTGAAGCTCATCATTACAAATACATGTCTGAGTACGACTTATTCACTCATAGCATCACTGCAGCAAACACACTGTTTCTAGAACTGAAATGACCTCAATGACAAGTGTAAAAAAATAGCCTTTACACTACAAAGTACAAAAAACAAAAAAATGTAAATCTTTTTTCTTTCTTTTGTCTAAAATTCCTGGAAAACTTTAGATTTTTCATGAGCTTCTAGAAAAAAAGATAAATATACCAAGTAAAAAAACTCAAAACAAGCGTAAAAATGGTTAGTGATGTCAGAATATTTAATATAAAAAGAATAAAACTAAAATGCAGAGCAGCATTTATTCCTTTTTGCAGGTTAGCTGGAAGGTTGTTACCGTTTATTCCTCTGGAAGTATAAAAAGTCTGTGATGCACAGAAACATTCACTGAAACTGACGAAGGGAAGTTCCCAAAAAGATCAAATCTATGAAATATATTTTGGAAAGAATATTTGTAAAACTTTGTGAAAAACCTTTACAGTTATGAAGTCAGTTTAATGGCACAGATGGAGCCTAAGATGCTCCTTTACTCGATGCTTTAAAGACTCTCAGTCAGTCACTTAATGGCGACTAAAGAAAAAGGTTGGAACAAAAACGGAAGCAAAGTCACAGAAATCTGTTGAACTTCTCAGTGGGAGCAGTTTTCCTCGCTTGGTTCATTTTTAATTCCCTCTAGAATCACTGATGACTCTGTGGCCTAAATCCCTCTGATAACGCATCAGTGTTAGAGACCAAACACGCTTCCTCATCCTCCCATGGAGATCGTTAGGAACCCAGATGAAACGCTCATTTCTGGCCAACCGGAGATCAAAGTCAATCCTTGTTTTGAAAGTCGGCTTTTAAAGACGTCGTTAGATCTCTGGGATTCCTGTTTATATCGGAGCTAAAACTTCCCAATAAAGACGCTTTGTTTGATTGTTGTGAAGCAAAACATCCCATTTTCAGGGTCCAGTTCAGATGGTCTCTGTCTATTCTAGAATTTCTATAATCCAGAGATGTGAGGACGGGATTACCTGTTTAACCCTGCAGTGCAGATACAGTCGCTGCTAACAAACCACCGCCTGCGTTCTTCTCTGTCATCATTCACTTACCTCCTGCAACATCGGGATCCAAGCAAAGTAGAAAAACCTCTTTAAGCTTTTAATTAGATTTAGATGTATAAATAAAGCAGGTAGTAGCCGTGGGTAGTTTGGATTTCAATGAAACTCAGCAAATAAAAACACATTTAAGGTAAAATAAAATTACATAAAACACAAATATTAAAATGTGGACTAATGAAAGGAATATTTATTACCTGCTTAAAGGGTTAGAGTTATGAAAAAAAAATGTTTTACTCTGATAAGTAGGCCTCATTGAAAGCTTTACTTATTTAGAAAAAGGAAATCTATTGGAGCAAAGCAAAGAAATTAATAAAAATATAAAACCAGCTAAACGTAGCCCAGTGGATGGAAATACATTTATTAAATTCATTAAAATTAGTCCAACCTTGCATTGGTTATAATCTGACCCTCCAGCTGTATAAAATAAAACTCATAGTAACAAAGGTAAATATATATTATATAAATAGAGTAAATTCCTTCTATATTCCAGATCTTCATCTTTTATTATTATTCAATCAAACTCTTTAATCAGCCTTTTAAGGATTTCTCATTCGTAATTCCATGAACATATTTTTATAATCTAGTCAGATTAATTTAAAATTTTAACCTTGGAATTCAAACCACATTCTGTCCAACTAGAAAAACTCGCTTATTTTAATTGTGTTAAAAATAAGGATTAAAACCATAAAGTAAAATCGATTTCTAAATATTTCTTTTTTTTTGCTTTTATTATATTAGATTAGCTTAATATGGTTTTAATCCTTATTTTTAACACAATTTAAAGAAAGGCTCCGTCTACATTGCAATTTAAAGGACTGTTTTTATTGTTTTTATTGTTGTTTTCTGTGTTTTAATGGGAAGAACTGGGAATGCACCAGTTGCTCCAGTTAATCCCTGGCAAACCGTTTTCCTCCCAGTTGCCAGGGATTATCTAGATTTAATGCAACGTCTCCAAATCATCCATCCTTCAGACATCGATTGTTTTCTCTATTCAAACGTCAAGGAGAGGAATTTAATTGGCCGAAAGAGGGACGATGTAAAAAATACAAAAAAATATAAATAATCAATGGAAAAAATAAAGTAAACATTAAAATTCAACCTGAAGGATCTATGTCCTCATTTAGTATGAAAATGCTGATTAAATCTTTTAAACATTCATTTCAACAGGACTTTATAACGATATTTAGTCTAGAAATGTTGTTTTATTTAAAAACAAAATGCTTCTTCGTCTCATTAAAAGAATTGAAAGCTTTTTTATTGAATAAAACATTTCTAGCTGAAAACCCAAATTCACCTCATTGAAAATCAAAATATCCTATTTTAATTTTTTATTTTTCATTCTTACCTACAGCTGTATTGATGAATAGAGGAATTACATATGAGGCGGTTTACATTATTTCATTTATATTAAAATGACCCAGAAGATGTCTTTGATTAAAAAAAGGTCCAATCCCAGCATGGATTCTTAAAACCGATTTTTCGCAGATTAAAAGCAGCATTTCTGCTTCAGCTTGATATGACAGCTGAGATTGCTGCTCCTGCCGACTGACAGTCAATCTCCTGGACTAGAATCAAACGTCCTCCTTTAACGAGGCTGTTTCATTAACACAGCAAATCTGTTAAAGCGATGGAGTGAATAAACCAGCGTCCAGCAGTAAACTGAGGGAACAGAAATGATCAATTTGATGCCTGAAGCTAACAAGCTCTGCGATTCTAAAGCCAGTCTGCCCGGATTATTCTGCAGGAATAAAAGTAAAAACAGCAGCAGAAGCCGACAAATGTCATCACGGCCTGTCACCTTCAATCTGTCGCCTAATCCTTCCTCCTCTTCCTCCTCCAGATATTAGGGAGAGCGGGAGCCCCAAGCCGGTGATGGTTTTTATCCATGGAGGTTCTTACATGGAAGGAACTGGGAATATGTTTGACGGCAGCATCCTGGCCAGCTATGGAAACGTCATCGTCATAACCGTCAACTACCGCCTGGGCGTCCTCGGTAAGCAGCTCTGATATGCTACCTTCACCCCTTCCTTCCTTCCTTCCTTCCTTCCTTCCTTCCTTCCTTCCTTCCTTCCTTCCTTCCTTCCTTCCTTCCTTCCTTCCTTCCTTCCTTCCTTCCTTCCTTCCTTCCTTCCTTCCTTCCTGCTGACGAGCATAGCTCTGTTTTTGTTGTTTGTATTTACTCTGTGATAATCTGATGTGTGCGGATGACGTCTCGTCGCTCTCCTCTGACTGACGGCTGCTGTGTTGAGGTTTCTAATTTGATCGACCCAAACCACAGAAGATGGTTGAATATTTGACTCCACGCCAGTGAACGGTTGTGGGCGTGATGCCATCCAGCCTCTGTTATTGCTGATTTAATACTAAGGAATTGCTGGATTTTCTGTCTGCAGCGGATGATGATTAGATGAGGTTTAACCGCATCAACATTGATGCTGGTTTGTGTTTCTATTTTTGCTCTGAATGACATATTTGCTGCAAATGAACCGTTTTTCATTGTAATCATTGAAGGCTGTCCCACATTTTGCCTCCTCAATCCTTTTATTTTATGGTTTTACAATCAGCGGCTTCTGATCTAGAAATGTCATTTCTGACTCGGTGTTTTTTATATTTTCTCCTTTCCTCTCATTGGTCGGTTTAATGATTCCTTTTCTGTTGTGTGTCTCTCTATGGTCTCCAGAGGGCAGGTATTTATTGCCTGTATGATGAGAGCAATCTCTCCTCCATCCCGTGTTAAATCCGATCACGCTGCAGTTTGTTGGAACGGGAGGAAATGATCTCATTTTCATGTTTGGTTGCTGAACTTTCAGGCTTTTCTGATTAAACTGGACTAGATTATGGATCGAGGCCAAAATCCAATAAGGTTCTGTCTCTGCATATTTGTCTCTAATTGTACATCTATAGATCTATGTGTGAAGAATGGGCGTGGACATGCCTGACTCCTCCCACTGTAAATAAGCAGAATAAAAGTCAAATATTAATGTTAGTGAATACATTTTCTCTTATTTCCCACTGATTCCTTTTAACGTCGATTCTTCAGTCAGTCTATGTTCAAAAAACACGTCATATGAAAAGATCTGCAGCATATAAAGATAAATCCAAAAATAACTTTTAAATAATTTTCACCCAAAAACAAATCTCTGTCTTAAAGCTGCAGCTTACACTGAAAAAATTATCTAAATATAAAGGACAATTTTCCATTTAAAGTAAAATCCTCCACATGGAGGAGTTTTAAAATAGAAGAAATAATCTGCATTTAAAATAAGATAACAAAGATGTTTTCTGGTATATTTAATGTCCTTTATTGAGATTTTTTAACTAACTATTATAGATAAAGGAATAAATGTTTTGTAATTGTAGGAGATTAAGGAAGATGAGCCACAGTCAGTAAAATGAACATAGATTTAAATTTATCTCCATAAGATTCAGAGATTTTTGTAATTAACAGAATTTAGTACTTTGCAGGAATCTGATCACATAAATTGACTGAATAATTATTTCCATCAACAGAATCATTATCTTTTTTTAACAGCACATTTAATTGCTTTTTTGCTAATAAAAACAAAAAAACAAAAAACAGAACAGATTAAGAAGAAGGTGTAGATAGAGCTATGGATTATAGATTATTATGCAGTTTTTCTAAAAAATCTAACTTTGGGAAAATAAATGAATATTTTAGTTTATCAGATTTAAACCCTAAACAAAAAGCTTTTTCTAAAGAAATAATAATCTAAACATAGAAAGTTTGATTTTATGGATTGAAACTTTTCCAGCACATTCTAATGAGAAATGTTTAATAATGTATAAAACTCGTTACCAACCATCACCTTCAGAACGGAGTCACATTAGTTTTATTTTCCATGTTATAAACGCTGATTCAGACAAAGGAGGATAAACTTTGCTTTTTCTAGATGCATTTAAAGACTAGATTAAATGTGATTAAAGTGTTTAAAATATTGACACCCCCCCCACACCCTTCCACTTCCTTTCTTTCTCATTTTGCTCTGAAGTCCAAACTGAAGGTGCTGCAGGCCGCCCTGGTCAACATGGCGTCTCTCCTTACATCAGACCGTCAGCATGTTTACCCTCACGTGTGCGAATGTGTGAGACGATTTAACTTATAGTCGGTTACTGTGGTGAGTTTTTTAGGGTCTCTTTGGTCCGACATCCATATTAGGAAGAAATGAGGAACCTTTCAGTGATTAAAGTTGCATTTAGTTTTGCCTTTAAAAGTTTGACCTAATAGAGTTTATTTTCCTGGCAGCCATGTTTGATTTTAAATGATGGTGAAAAACCTTTGGTTGATCAGTTTGATCTAAATAGAGACGTTTTTCCTTCTATTCAGAGGAGGATGGAGAACCCAGACTAACTAACAACTAAAAGGGTAACTTAAGTACTGAGTAACTCATGAAAACGTCTGATTCACTGTTTATAAAGATGTGGTCACATGCTCATCAGGAGGCCAAGCCAACTTAGAGGTGGGACTAAAAAAACATGTGACTGGGAACGGTCTGAACCAATGAGATTGACCAGTTTGCGTACTGGGTTGTATTAATTAAAAATGTGTTTTTTTTGTGGCTGATATGGTTAAAAAAGGTTATTGGTTTAAAACTCTGCATTGTTTCAGACGTACAACTAATGACTCAAACATGGAATATCTAATAAATCTACATCGTGACTATTTTACGGACGCTCCTCTCAGACATGTCTGGTTCTATGGTCCAGTCCGCCGGTGAGGTTTCCGTTGGTTACGGTGTGCGTTCAGCATCAGCCATCCACCTACAGCAGCACCTGTTTGCAACATGCTGCTCTGCTGACAGACCCCCCCTCTTCCTCGCCAGACCGCCCCTCTTCCTCGCCAGACCCCCCCTCTTCCTCGCCAGACCCCCCCTCTTCCTCGCCAGACCCCCCCCCCCCTTCCTCGCACCACTCATTTTTCTTCTTGGCCTTGTGGGTCCCTGTGCAAGAGTGAGCACTTTCCAGAAGCCATTAATGTCTTTAAATATGTATAGCTGCTGACGCAAAGCTGTATTTATTAGTAAAGAGCCTTGGCTACAATGGATTTGGCCATGGGGCACATATATAGTATTTTACAGTTAGTGTGTGCAGTGTGGGTGTGCAGAAGGAGTGTCTGTGTTGCACCGATCGGGTGTTAATGAAACACATGCTGCCATTGAAAAGGCTTTATTACTCATGGCTTCTCCATTAAAGGTCTGGGTCCGTTTTCAGCTGGAGTTTTAGGTTCCTTTTCTTGATCTGGTCATAAACAGCAGCTCAACATTTCCAATCATTTTCCACGTTTTCCGGTGAAAAACACGGCAGAGCTGCACGGCAACAGAGACAAAGGCAGCAACTTTATTGCTCCTGCAAATGAGGAGTTTGTTTGTGGAGATCTGATGCAGGCGCTGTAGAGATGTGGCTGTGCCTTTAAGGCCGGGCCCTCACACCGTGGAGTTCGTTTTAGCCCGGCCAAAACCTTTAATCATGCTGATTGATGAGGTGCATTTCCCTGACTCAAACCTTCTCCAAATATGGCTTCCATTCCAGCTATACATCAGCCTTCCAGCCAATTCATCAGGCTTCTGATTGTTTTAAGATATACCTGACCAGTAAAATATCCATTCCTCTCTTCCAGCTCTGCCCGTTTACAGCAGCGTCATCATCGTTCGCCGGGGGGGCGGGGGGTTAAAGAATATTCTGAAGTTCTTTAAAGTGATGATAAATGCTTCATTTGAGGAAAGTGAATTAAGAAAAGTTTGACTTTCTTAGAAGAAAGAAAACAGAAATGAGTGAATTATATCCTGAAAACTAAACCTGCTTGATGTCGAGTTTTAGAGGTTTAGAGACGTCTGTCTGAAAAACATGCAAACCTCAGTTAGTATAGAAGGTCAGAAAGTTTTTAATTATGAAGAGTCTGTTTCATTAAAATCACCTTCTGTTAAAGTCCGGCTGTTTCTGACATGAAGCTGCTACAGAAGCAGCTCCTGATGTTAGAAAATACCAACCATGGAAAAGCAGATCAGCACAGATCTGGGATCTGCTCGGTCGCAGATTCCAGACATTTGAAGCCGAAGATGAAGGCAGGCTTTGAAATGAGAAAACAACAGGTCAGTTAAACAGATACCGACATTTAACACCTGAATACTGTCGCTGTTTATCCCTTCTTCTCTTCTTTTTCTCCCTGTTTGTCTTTCTTTAGATTTTCTCCTATTTTTCTCCTCTCTCCTTTTTACACATCTTCATCCTTTCTGTCTCTTTTTCTGTTTGTCTTCTTCACCATCTTTGTTTTCTCCCTTTCATCCATAAAGTCATATTTTACCAGCCTGTTGCAGTGAGGATCCATATTCACTGAATTAAAGTGAAACACACCCCTCTGTAGCAGAAACAACTAAATTCATAGTTGACTTTGAAATATTTTATATTTGAAAGTTTCCGTATTCAGTTGGATGGAGGAATAATTTCTGGATTTAGGGGCAGGTTCCTCTCCGCACAAAGGACGAATGTTCCAGTGAAGAAGGAAGCTTTGATAACTTTGACACCAGCTTTCTGCTTCCTTCCCTTCTTCCTTCCTTTCTTCCTTCCCTTCTTCCTTCCCTTCTTCCTTTCCTTCTTCCTTCCTTCTTCCTTCCTATCTTTTCAGGACCAACAGAGTCCCTTCTTCCTTCATCATCTTTTCCCGCCTCTTCATGCTGCTTTCAGATGTTTTGCTGCTGTTTTCCTGGATTCTTTTCTTCATAACGATATCAATAAATATCAATAAGCCTTCTGATGGCATTCTAATCTAAAAGATAATTAATGATAAATAAGTTAGAAGTGTGTGTTTTTATTGGGGCCCCAGAATCTAGTTGCCCGCGGCAACCGCTTCATTTTGCTTAAAGGTAACATCCAGGATTCCTCCATGAGGATCAGAGATCATTAGATCAGATTTATCCAGGTTTTTCTTTACAGGTCAGAGTTATATCTGGAAATGTTTCCTCTGATTCGATGCCTTCAGTCCAGGATCAGTTCTG